ACTGAGGGAAATTGGCCAGGGTTAAAACCCAGATCTCTCTGCCTCCTCCTCAAGGGCCTCTTGCACGTCTGGGCTTTGGTTATAATGATTCCACCTGACAGGGTACTGTGAGGACCGGCCTGCAGAACACCCAAGAAGGTTTGTGCCATCAGAGTCAAGGGCTTAACAGAAGTCAATTCAGGAAATAAAGATGATGTCTTATAAATTTGACCAAAAGAGGAGCTAGCTCCCTGCTCATCTCTACATCTTTCCAAGTCTCACCTGAAAGAAATGCTCTTTGAGCTGGTACTCCTGCTGCTGACAGGCCCTTTTAACCCCAGCTCTCCTGCCCCTGACTAAGAACATCAGCCCTGCCTCCAGAGTCTTCTACTTACTTAAAACTCTGAGGATTTGGTTCATTCTTTGATAACTAAATAGTCTGCATTGTTGCTCCAAGCCCAGCAACCATCCAATCTCAAGCCTTCCTGGGGCCTTCAACATGAGTGGTTAGCAGCACGGATACCCAAGAGAACTGTTTCCATAAGACCTCTGTTTGGCTAAAGAAAAGCAAAGACTAACAGCCCCGCAGTGGCTTTAACTGATATTTATCTCCTACAATAAATTGAAGGCAGCTCAGAGCAAAGGAGAGTTTAGGGAAAATTTGAGGGTGCATGATTTCCCCATGCTCTGATCTGTTATTCTTGACTCTCCTAATGCTATCCTTTCACTCATGGTCACAAAAGAGCCGCTTCCCTTCCAGACCTCAGTTCTGCATTGTAGTCAGAAAAAAGGAGCAACAGTACTACACTTTATCCAAAAGGATAACACCTCCAGCTGCAAAAGAATCTGGCTTACAAAATATGGGCAATATTAGTAAAGAAGAAAAATAAGAAAATATAGGAAGAAAATTGTAGCCTATGAGCCAAAGCTGGCTCACTATTTGATTTTATAAATAAAGTCTTATTGAAATGCAGCTGTATCCATTTGTTTACAAAAATAAAATTATTGAGTGTTTACTAATGCTAAAATATTCAGTGTTGAGCCAAGTAAGAGACTATCTGGTATCCAGAGTTTAAAATGTTTCCTCTCTTATCATTTACAGAAAAATTTGCAACCCTCCTGGAGTAGAAAAGTAGTAGTATCTGACACAAGTACCAACAAAAGGCAGACCTTTCCCAAGCCCCAGAAAAAAACATTATAACAAACCCCCGTATTTTATGCCCAACTGTGGTGATATATTATTTATGATTTATTAAAGCTTGCCTGAAGATTCAGAAAGCAAAGTCAGCCTTAAGCTATAGTGATCAGGCAGTGGTGGTACACACCTTTAATCTCAGGACTCGGAATTAAGAAGTAGATGAATCTCTATTAGTTCAAGATCACCATAGCCTACACAAGAGTGAAGAGTAACAGAGCTCATGCCTTTGATCCCAGCAGCTGGGATCATGTGCATTCAGTCCCAGCATTAGGGAGGTATACAAGACAGGAACAAAGTCTCAGAGCTGGCATTCATTCTCCAACCACATTGAAGATAGGAGGATTCATTCTCCAGCCACACTGAAGATAGGAAGACATTGCAGTCTCAGGATTCTCCAGCCATGCTGAGGAGAGGCAGCAGTCTGAGGTTTGGTGGAACCAGGATCACCTTTTGGTCTGAGGTAGAGTAAGAGCTAGTGGCCGGCTGCTTTGCTTTTCTGATCTTCAGTTTGAAACTTGAACTCTAATAGCCGTCTCTGGGTCTAATATTTATCAGGTTACATCTAACTTTAATGCTGGTTCATGCAAGGCAAAGCAGAAACTGAGTCCAGACTTTCAGCAATCTGGGAGCTGCATCAAGCAGTGGGGAACATGCTGAGCTGGAGCTTTGGAGACAGATAGCTCATCCCAGTGATCCCAAGACACATGAACAGATGCATGACAGGTCAACAGTCCATTGTAATGTACCCCCCACCCCCTCAAAGCTGTGATTAAAGACATGCTCAGTGCCCAGTTGTAGGTGGACTTTCTTTTCCTGCCCACCAGTTTCCCAAATAACTGACACAGAAACTCAATATTAATTATAAATGCTCAGTTGATAGCTCAGGCCTGTTACTGGCCAACCCTTACATTTTAAATTAACCCATTTCCACTCCTTTATTGCTGTCATGTGGCTCATGGCTTGTTACCTCATTTTGTACATGTCCTGCTTTCTCTGTGTCTGGCTGGTGACTTCTCTGGTTCTGCTCTTCCCAGAATTCTCTTAACCTGGCTCTCCTGCCCAGCTATGGGCCAGCCAGTTATTTATTAATCAGTGAGAGTGATACATATTTACAGTGTATGAAGATTATTCATCACTCAACACCCAGTTATTTATGTGCAAACTGAGAACCTGGATTCGTTCCCTCATGCTTGCAGAGGGGGCACCCTTACCCCTGAGCCACCTTTTGTTTTTGAGACAGGAGCTCACTATCTAGCAGGCTGGTCCAAGACTCACTATGTGGCCCAAGCTGGCTTCAAACTGACCATTCTCCTGCCCAAACCTCCCTAACACTGGAATTATAGTCATGGCCTACCTGCCCTGTCATCTTTACACTTTTATTTCCTGGTTGAGTCCACTGACCTTACACTCACCAAGGATGAACCAGTTGGAGACTAATTACAATGCCAATTGCACTGAATCCCACATAATCCAACAGCAACTTCAAGGAAGTAAACAAACATAATCTCAAGACAGAACAGTTTTTTTTTTCCCCCTGAAGACCAATGCCAGCTTGCCTGATTCAGAATAATTCTCCCGGAAAAGGCAAATAACCAATTTCTTCCAATTGTTTAATCCCCTGCTGCAGAGCTGGTGACTGTGTGTAAGCTCCTAAGAAATGACAGGAAGAAGACACTCATGAGCAGAGGAAGAGCCCCCCCTCCTTACCACCCATAGTCTGTTGGTTTGGTTTCCCCCTGGCTGACACCAAGTAATCTAGTCACTGAAACAAACTCCTTTCTGGAAAATTCTACAAATGAGATTGGTAAGATGGTAATGAATAATGCCTGGAGTCCAACTCCCTTGTGACTTGAGCGATGTTTTCTGTGGGTGCTCCCTTCCCCAGCTGCAAGCTTGCCAGTGTACCTTAAAAAGCTTCCCCTGTAGGACAGAATTCTGTGGATACCAGTGTTCTCAGAAATACTTCCCCTACCTTACTTAGTTACAATAAGTAACATGAAGCCACCCTGGTGAGGCACACAGGGCTCCAATATACAACTTCTCAAACACTGCAGGGACCTTCCTCTCCTGATGCAGCGCTTGCCTCTTCAGGCTGGACAGCGGCAAAAAGTACCACTCCTATTCTAGTGTGGAGTGGAGCTGTCCATGGAAGCCAGCAGATCTATAGCTAAATAAGTTTCAATTTTATGTTTTTGACAAATAGTACTGATCCCCCACCCCTTTCCTCTTGCTGTTCTGGGAGATGAACCCAGGACCTTGTGCATGCCAGGAAAGTACTCCTAACACTGAGCTATGTTACCCAAGCCGGCCTTAACTTTTCTCTGTACCCAGACAGGCCTTGAACTTGTGATCTTCCTACCTCAGTTGGAACTACAGGTCCTTTACCACCAGGCCCGGCTAAATAATAATAGTATTTGAAATATTTTAAACACAACATGTTGATGGTCAACCACATAAGCAGTAAGACCGGAACACACTGCTTTAGCTCAGCCTGGGGCAAACTTGCCCGCCCAACATCGGTGCTAGGAAGAAAGCACAGACAAGTAGCCCTCCCAGCTCAGGAGTAAAAGACCTGGTGGCCCACTCCGGCCAGGTCCACGGGACCGGGAGGGGTACCTCCTCCAGTAGTGATGGTATTCAGCTGTTCCTCCACCCAAGCCTTTCTGCAAGCACCAGTTTGGACACCCAAAGCCAGCGATGCATCTTCCTCAAGGGACGCGCCAGCGAAGGTAATAGGACGGAGGTGTCCCAAGAGGGTTGGGGCGGAAGGTGGGAGACAGAGTTAGCCTTAAATAGAGCAAAGGGCCTTCTGGCTGTGTTCCCGGGGTACCCGCCCCACCACGCCTGGAGCCCGACGTGGCGCGCGCTGGGGACAGCGAGCAGGAAGTCGTATTGGGGAGGGCTGCGTTGCAGGTGCAGATGAGGGCAGTGCTGACAGCTACACCCGAGGGCACCGCGGGGGTGAGCGCCAGGTCCCTGAATAGCCAGGAGAGCGTGCCAGGGCCCCGAGTCCGACGGACCGACGGTATGTTCTGGAATGGGAAGGGATCCGGGACCCCGAATTGCTACACTGAGAGGCTCGGAGGTTCTGGCCTGTGAGTCCAGAAAAGGTTTTATCTAGCGGAGGTGATGTGGCTTCTGGTCTCTGGAAGTGCTGCTGGAGTCTCTGGGTGGGACCTTGGGTCCTCTCGACTACGTTTGGAAGGAGTAAAAATAGGGGTAAGGGGAAAGGAAGGACTGCAGCAATGTCTTTCCGAACCGCCTGGGCTCGGGAAGGGTCGAGAGACAAAGGGCTGTTGTGGGGTCTCCAGAAGCGGAGGGGTGGTATTATATTTTCTGGGAAGATGGTGTAGATGAACCTGACCAAATCTAGTCGATCTGAAGAGGCCAGGGGAACAGAAGGTGAGGGTGGCGGAGAGAGTGAGTGACAGCCCTTCCAGGAAATGGGAGAGGCTCTAGCACCTGCGAACCCTTCCCTGGCCTCCCGGGATTCCCAGAAGAAGAGGCCAGGACCTTGGACACAGGTGCAAACGTGCCGGCGCGCTCCAGCCTGGCGAAGGGGTGCGTTCTTGGAGGCCTCGGGAAGAGCTGAACGCCCGCAGAGCGGGCCCTTTAAAGCTACCCAGAGGCGTGTCGGGAAATGCGCTCTGGGCCCGCCCCTCCCGGAACGCGGCCCCGGACCTGCCAGGCTGAGCCGGAACTCGCACTCGGCCCGGCGCCTCGGCGCAGCCTTGGTGAGGCCTTGCGCCTCCCCTACCTCTGTCATTGTCCCTCGGGCCCGCCTCCCTGAACTTCCGTGACCTCCCTGCAGCCCTCCCTCCCTCCCTTCAGCTCGGCGGGCGCTTCCGGGTGCTCCTGCAGCCCTCCCACCACGTAGCCCACGCCTCCCTCTCGGTGCTCCGCTTCCCACGCGGTCCCCTTCCTGTTCTTTCCTCCTCTACCCTGCCCTTCTGTCCCTCTCCCTTCCTTTCTCCCCGCGACTCGTCCCTATTAGGCAACAGTCCCTGTCGTCCAGTCGGCCATGGCCGTCGAGGCCCACATCCTTAGCTAGGCCCCTTCTCCCCTCCCTGGGTCTGGTCTCATGACCCCCTGCCCCATCCGGGAACCAGCGCGATGTGGAGCAGTGTATCTGGCAAGCAGAACTTCAGCTAAGCCATGTGACAACTTAAGGCTGCACCCCCAGACCCTAGCATCTTGGGGCCCTGTAGACCAAGGAATGCTTCTGGCCGTGGAGTGACCTAGCTCTTCTATCACCATGAACAGGGCTCCTCTGAAGCGGTCCAGGATCCTGCGCATGGCGCTGACTGGAGGCTCCTCTGCCTCTGAGGAGGCCGATGCAGATGGCAGGAACAAGCCATTTCTGCTGCGGGCGCTGCAGATCGCGCTGGTGGTCTCGCTCTACTGGGTCACCTCCATCTCCATGGTATTCCTCAACAAGTACCTGCTGGACAGCCCCTCCCTGCAGCTGGACACCCCTATCTTCGTCACTTTCTACCAGTGCCTGGTGACCTCGCTGCTGTGCAAGGGCCTCAGCACTCTGGCCACCTGCTGCCCAGGCACCGTTGACTTCCCCACCCTGAACCTGGACCTTAAGGTGGCCCGCAGTGTGCTGCCACTGTCGGTGGTCTTCATTGGCATGATAAGCTTCAATAACCTCTGCCTCAAGTACGTTGGGGTGGCCTTCTACAACGTGGGGCGCTCACTCACCACAGTGTTCAATGTGCTTCTGTCCTACCTGCTGCTCAAACAGACCACTTCCTTCTATGCCCTGCTCACATGCGGCATCATCATTGGTGAGTGGCGCTGGGGTACTGTGGGGAGCAGGATGGGCATCGAACTGAAGTTCTAAAGGTCAACACTGTAGATACCCTTACTTTATCTGCCCCAGGTCCCTTGCATCAGCAGTTATAGGAAGAGCCCTGTAGAAAGCAAATAATGTCCTTATGGTCACTCAACAAGTTAGGGACCCAGTCAGGGTGAAAATTATGTTAGCAGCAACTACAGTAAAGGACTCTCACTGCTTGCATGTTTAAAATGCGCCAGGGACTAAGCATTTGATCCATATTAACTCAGCTAATCCCCATTGCAAGGTAAAATATATCTGTATTTTACAGAGGGAAAAAACAAGGCACCGAGAGGCAAAGTAACTTCACCGGGATCGCACAGCTAATCACTGGCATAGCTGGGATTTAAACATAATCAGCTCCTCCATAGATCACACTATGACCACTGTGCCACTGTTCCTTCCCAAGAGGTCCAGGATCCTGTCTGTCCAGTTCTTTTTAAAGAGGACAGTCTTTTAATAAACTCACTGTTTCCCTCTGACATCACTGCTTTGAGGAAACATTTGAAATAGTTTTAATTTTTAATTTGAATGTTTTAATTTTTTTCTTGAGCGTGTGTGGTGTGTGTGTGTGTGTGTGTGTGTGTGTGTGTGTGTGTTGGGGGAGGGCACCACAGTATAGGTGGAGATCAGGGGACAACCTAAGAATTGGTCCTTTCTCCCTCCACATGGGTGCTGGGGACTGCTCAGGTCATCAGGATTGGCACAAGCCTCTTTACCCACTGAGACATTTCACTGGCCCAACATATATGTGCTTTAAGAGGCTTTAACTATCTTCCCAGACATGAATGTTGTGTTGATCATTACACATGTAGCATCCTCTTTTACCCAAAAGCTCTCTGGGTGGTGGCATCCCTGTTGTTTGCATACGAATGAGGAAACGGAAACTTAGAGAAACTAAACTACTTGCCAGGGCCCCACAAGTAAGATAATCTGGGATGCCATCCCAGATTGGCCACACTCCCTGGTCTGTGTTTCAAGCCAGTCTTTTTTGCTCTTGCCCATTGGAAGTAAGCACAATGCCATCAAACACAATAAGTAGAGGCCAAATGTGCTTTTAAATTAAAGTCAGATGAACTTTTAAACATTTAGCCCCTCAGCTACAGGAGTTATAACCTGATTCTGCAACCATCTTTGCAATGTGCCATAGTCATATGTAGCTAGGGGCTCCTGGCTAGGACAGCATGTGTTAGGAAGCATGTCTGGCCCTGAGAGCATTGAGCTGAATGGCTGCTAGGTTACAGAGACCAAGGCATCTGTTCCCTAAGAGTCCTGGGCAATCAGAAATGTGGCCTTTATTTGTACTTGCTCAGGTTCTTTATCTGTCTTGTTTGACCTACTTAGTCTCCTCTGGTGTCTCAGAGGCCCAGGCTGGCTGCTCTGGATGTGGGGACCAGGTCAATGTGTACATCTGCCCTAGAAATGTCCCCTTGGTTAAGCAGCTCCTGAATCCAGTGGTAAGGGGTCTGGAGCAGGGAGGGGCCAGGTAAATATCTGTCAGCACTGGGGGACTCCCACCTGCCCCACACATATACCCTAAGAGAACTGGTGGTCCTTGCTTCCTCTTTGTCCTGCAAGGCACCCTGGGATCCCACTTCAGTCTACCAGCCCTGCCTGGGATACAGGATGTAAGCCTCCTAGAGGGGAATTTACATGCAAGAAGGTACAGTCACTAGAGAACCTGAACCCAGGTCTCCAAAGTAACCAGGGACTGATAGTGAGGCAGCTGAGAACGGTGGCAGCCTGCCTGAGTGGCATGGAAAAGTGGAACCCTGTGGCCTCCGGAATGGCCCCAGCTGTTGGGTCTCCCCTTCCTTCCTCCTGTGAGGAAGGGCCCATCTCTGATAAGGGCTTTGGGGACTCTGGAGCGAGTAGAGAGCAGGAGGAGCAATCTAAGCGGGCCTTACTGAGAAGTTGTGGCATGAGGCTGCCCAAGGAGTACAGGCTGGAAACACCATTTGAATGAGTTCAGTTTTTCCCGAAGGCCATGGGGAGCCACAGAGGAAAATCATTTTAGTTACAAGACAAAGCCCCAATTTTTACAGATGAAGGAAATTGGAACTCAGAGAGGTTAAGTAACTTCTCCCAAGTAGCTCAGCTTCAAAATCATAGAGCAGAGTCCAGTTCTCTCTGATGCCTGTGATGGCCCTGCTCTTCCATGTTGCTGATCCCTGTGGCATCAGTAAGCCTCTACCTTGTGGGAATGCAGGATCTAAACAAAGAGAACAGAGTGTAACCAGGGGCAGGCACCTACCAGCCAGGAACAGACACCTGCCAACCCGGAACAAGCACCTACCAGCCAGGGGCAGGCAAACAGCCTTGTGTTAAAGCAGGAAGCAGGAAGCTGGCAAGAGGCCTGGGTACCTGGTAGATCAGGAAGGGTTTCTCCCCAACCGATTGCCTAGAAGGGGGAGCATGTTTTGGATGCGGATAGACCTCTGTAGTGAGAAATGGGAAACTGAGACCGGTGGCTTGAGGCTGTGGTGTCACAGAGGAAGAGCTGGCCCCATGCTGTGGCTTGGGAAGCCTTTCAGGCTCTTTGAGCAGAGGGTGACCCAAGAGTGAATAGAGTCCCCAAGACACTCCCCAACAGCATCAGGCCAGGAGCAGGTCTGACCAAATGCTCACACTGAGCGAGGCAAAGCCAAAGGTTACCTGTGCTTGCCCAAGGTCGCTTTGGCTGGCCCTCCTCCCTCTAGCGCCTGTGCTATCTTATAGCCCTCATTACAGTGATTACAATTATAATTAGAGAGGTAACAGGGCCAGGCTGTCCCTATGCCTTCCCCCTCTGCTAGATTGTAGCTGGGGGAGGGAGGACACAGGTCTCAGCCCTTGCTTGGTGTGGGAATTAGACTTTGGGTATGTTGATGATGAGGTAAGAGCCACAGAACAGTCTAAACTGTGGTATCAGAATCCTGTCCCTCTCCCTCCTCTCCCCATCCCTCTTCACCTTGTCACTCTTCTGTCTCTGCTACAGGTGGTTTCTGGCTGGGTATAGACCAAGAGGGAGCCGAGGGCACCCTGTCCCTGATGGGCACCATCTTCGGGGTGCTGGCCAGCCTCTGTGTCTCCCTCAATGCCATCTATACCAAGAAGGTGCTCCCAGCGGTGGACAACAGCATCTGGCGCCTAACCTTCTATAACAATGTCAATGCCTGTGTGCTCTTCTTGCCCCTGATGGTACTGCTGGGCGAGCTCCGTGCCCTCCTTGACTTTGCTCATCTGGACAGTGCCCACTTCTGGCTTATGATGACTCTGGGTGGCCTCTTCGGCTTTGCCATCGGCTATGTGACAGGACTGCAGATCAAATTCACCAGTCCCCTGACCCACAATGTATCAGGCACAGCCAAGGCCTGTGCGCAGACAGTGCTGGCTGTGCTCTACTATGAAGACATTAAGAGCTTTCTGTGGTGGACAAGCAACCTGATGGTGCTGGGTGGCTCCTCAGCCTACACCTGGGTCAGGGGCTGGGAGATGCAGAAGACCCAGGAGGACCCCAGCTCCAAAGAGGGTGAGAAGAATGCTATTGGGGTGTGAGCTTCTTCAGGGACCCGGGAGTGAACCCAAGTGGGGCCTACACAGCACTGAGGCTTCCCATGGAGCTTAGCTGTTGTGGCCCTGAGCAATATTGTTTACATCCTCCTTGGAATACGATCTAAGAGGAGCCAGAGACTTTCCTGGTAATGTCAGAAAGCTGCCAAATCTCCTGTCTGTCCCATCTCGTTTTGGGAAAATGCTACTGGAACTGGCACCCCTACCTGCCTCCCCCTGGGGCCTGTCTACCTCCATATCGCCTCTGGGGTTGGGACCAGCTGCAGCCTTAAGGGGTTGGATTGATGGAGTGATGTCTTCTACACAAGGGAGATGGGTTGTGATCCCAGAATGGCTAGTTGAAGGGAGTTAGGTGACCCCCACACTCTGGGATCCAGGGCAGGTAGAGTAGTAGCTCAGGTGCTATTATCGTCAGGAACACTCCAGCCTGCCTTTGGAAGGAGGTAGGAGCTTGGCCAAGGGAGGAAATGGCCATTCTGGCCTCTTCTGTGTGGATGGGTATGGCAGATCTATTCATGGCAGCTGCACCCAGGGGTGGCTAATGAGAAAACATTCACCTCTGTGCTTCATTTGCAGCTTTAGAATGGGGGAGAGTCACACATCTTTTATAGGTTAAGTAGGGCGATAAGCTCCTCCATAGTCTCCAACCCCAGCTTTACCTGCCTGGCTTCCCTTGGCCCAGAGGAGCCACCATCCTGTTCTCTAGCACTTGGCCCAGCTACCTAACTATGCTCCCTTTCTGTGCTCTTCTCTTCTCTGTCATGACCTCCCCCAACACCTCCATCTGCAGGCAGGAAGTAGGGTCCACTTGTAACCCCTGTTCCCCTGTTCGCATGGACAAGCCCTTTGGATACCTGAACCCCTCATGACAGTAAGAGACATTTATGTTCTCTGGGGCTGGGGCCCATCTGGCTCCTGTCACAAAAAAAAAAAAAAGCCTAGACCAGGTTACTAAGAATAGAAGTTGGTTTATAACTGTTCTGGGGCAGCAAAGCCCAGATGAAGGCAGCCATAGACCAAGTGTTTCAGAGAACACCCCTTCTGTCCACAGCCTCGTGTGGCTGAAGGGCAGCCAAGCTCCCTCAGGACTCATAGAGGAATACTAGCCCCATTCATGAGGTCTCACCCCATGACCTGCTCAACCCCAAAGCCTTCAATGTAAGGACTCCAGCATAAATTTGGGGCCAGAAGCACCTTACCTACCTTACCTCAGGGTAGCTGTCATCCTCTTAGTCCCTTCTCTTGGGCCTTTTGTACCCCCATTTCCTTGGGGTAATGCCTGATGTTTTTGTCCCTATCATAAAAATATGGGGGAACTGTGTCCAGCCTTTGATTGCTACTTCCCACAATTCCAGGTTCTAATGAAGTTGGTCGGGCATGATGCCCTGAGTTGTACATGATTTAATAATAATAGTAGTAATAACAATAATAATAAAAAGCAAGACGTAGCATGTGTGTGGACTGAGTGAGGGACACAGGGCTCAGCAGGGATCTAAAAGCCAAGTCTGAGGGACCCAGCTACAGCAGGCAGTCTTCCTGAGCTTGGAATCTCTTCACCATATACCTACTCTGGGGAGTAGGTGGCCAGAGTTCAAGTTTCCATTGGTACCAATGGCCACTGACTATGTGCTTATTGACGGCAGACATGACATTGATTGCTGCCCATCTGTCACTCATCTCCACAGCCATTCCTAATGTGTGGGGTGGGAGCCATTACCAAACCCCCATAAGAACACAGACTCAGGCTTGTGCTGAGAAAAGTAGCAGCAGAATTCATACAGAGAGCTGGATCTCCTGGAGCACCTTGGACTGCTACCAGCCATAGTGCTTGTCACACAGCACATGCTCAAAAGAATGCCAGCCCCCTCAGCCTAGAATGCCTGACCTTTCAGATGATGAAGAGAGTCAAAACTGTTAGCTTGCCCACCATGTTTCTACATACCTGACTGACAGCTTGAGGAAGAAGATTACTGTGGCTCCCAGCCTCAGAGGTGTCAGTTCAAGACAGTAAGTCATATGAATGGGACACCCAAGTGTACTGGGTCCTTGAATCAAGGCTGACCTTGTGATAGTCACTCCTACCAGAATGCTGGGGGGGGGCTGCCAAAGGCAAAGGAGGCTTTCTGAGGTGTAGTATAAGAGTCATTTCTGCATCCGTGTACACCTGTGAGCAAAGTAGGAAGGCCCTATGGAGAATATATCCCACAAGCCAGTAGGCCTTTCTGGCAGTGGGTGAATGCTGCCACCCTGTACCTCTATGCAAGGCCAGCAGAACCACCCAGCCTATAACATCTAGAGAAATTATAGGTCATCTTAATTAAGCCTCTAAATTGTGGGGAAACTCAACATGCAGCAAGAATCCTAACCCGCTAACCTAGGATGTGGGGTGGATCATTTGAAGGAAACTGGGGTTTCTTATAGAATTGGAGGCTCCATGAAGTCACCCTAACAAGCAATAGCAGCAGTGGCTCCTTCTAAGCCACCAGCTAGAGCACCCTATGAATGTACCTTATTCCCACATCTGGGTGTGTATGGCTGTGACTGGGTCAGATGTCATCCAGGCCATTGCCATGGGCCTTTAGCCTCATGGGGTGCTGGGACAGCAGCCAGACAGCTCCCATGCTGAGAAACTGCCTGCAGTAGACTGATGGGTAGGAAAATGAGGCCCAAAATGTTTTCCACACTTGATCTTTCTTTGTTTAAAAATGCTGTTTGCCCTCAAACTTGCCCAAACCCATTGTTTTGCAGTTGAGGAAAATAAGTCATAGAAAGGTTAAAGGAAATTTCTGAGGTTACAGAGCAAAGTACTGGCTTCACCCGAAATAGACAGGTGTGCCCTGACCCTGAAGCAAGTGCCTTCCACTGGCTCCAGGTCAGAAGCTGACAATAGGGTGAGTGTGAGTGTGAATGTGTGTGTGTGCATTCATGCATAGGCTCAACTTTAGGTGTTGCTGTTCAGGAGCCATTCTTGTTTTTTGAGACAAGGTCTCTCACTGGGACTTGGGACCTATGACCCCACAAGGCTGCCTAGAGCAAGTCCCAGAAATTCTCCTGTCCTCACCTACTTGACTCAAATTATAAACACACACCTCTATTCCTGGCTTATTTTTGTAGGTTCCGAGGATTGAACTTGTATCCTCATGCTTGCTTAAGGACTCTGCCACTGAGTTATTGCCCCATCCTTTACTCATTTAATCACTTTACTATTAGACACCACAGAAAAGTCTTTACAGGACCAGAGTGATGACTCATCCAGGAAAGGCTGTGAAGCCTGAGGACCCAAGATCAACCCCAGGAACCCTCATGATAGAAGGACTCACACCAAATTATTCTCTGACCTCCTTACAAACACCAAGGCAGCAAAGTGTAAATAAACAGATAAATAAATAGGATAATTTTTAAAAGAGTCTTTACAAATATGCATTAATTTAATTGTCAAAGCAACCCAATGTGAGTATAGTTGTCTCCCAACCACAGACAGGAAAATCAGGCACATGGAGATGAGTGATTTGAGCTCACATAGCTAGAAAGGGAAAGAATCAGGAGTCAAACCCAGGTAGTACCACTCTCAGTTATAAACCATATGGCTTTTTGAATATTAAAAAATATATCTGGTGATGGTGGCACACACCTTTAATCCCAGAACTTGGGAGTCAGAGACAGGTGGATCTCTTGAGTTTGAAGCCAGCCTGGTCTACAAACTCTGAGTTTCAGGACAGCCAGAGCTGTTACACAGAGAAACTCTGTCTCAAAAAAAATTTTTTAAAAAAAGAGGGAGAGAGAGAAATACCTCTTTTTAAAAAGCAAACAAACTGTGTGTGTGTGTGTGTGTGTGTGTGTGTGTATTTACATGTATGTAGCCAGACATGGTAGCACATGGCTTTAATCCAAGCACTTGAGAGGCAGAAGCAAGGGATCTCTGAGCTCAGGGTTAACCTTGTCTACAGACTAAGTCCCAGGACAGTCACTGGTCCATAGAAAAACCCTGTCTTGGAAAAGAAAAGGAAGAAAGTTTTATTCAGGGCTGGAGAAATGACTGCTGTTAACAGCATTCTTTCAAAAGAGTGCAGTTACCACTTGAAAGTCATATAGTATGTATGTATATATGATATATCATATGCATTAAGCAAAAATAAGTTCTGTGTCATATAATAACCCCATAACATAAGTATAGGTGGGGGTCTCTGAAGACAAGGGTCTGTCTTCATATGAAAAGATTCAGGCTCATGGAAGTGAGTTTAGCCAAGTCACTGGCCTTCTGGATGCCTGGGAGGTTAGTAACTCTGGCTGTGTCTCTGAGTGTGTTTCCAGAGAAGACTAACTAAAGGTGGAAGGCCTGCCTGAATGCAGAAGGCACCAACCCTTATGGCACAGACGAATAAAAGGAGAAAACCAGTGGTGAGGGCATTTTCTAGTTTGCTGGTCACCATAGGCTACCTACTCTGCCCTGGCATATCCTCCCTGCCTTGATGGGTGACTCCACAGAAACACTTTCTGGGCTGAGGAGGTGGCTCGGTGGGAGAGAGTATTTGCAGGACATGATGAGGAACTAGAGTGAGATACCCAGCCCCCAGATAAAAAGCCAGGCATGGCCACACACACACACCTGGAGCCCTAACTCTGGTGGGAGACACAAGAGGATCCCTAGGGCTTGCTGGTCAGCCTTTCTAGCCGAAATGGTGAAGTCCAGGTTTACCTTTTTGAACTCTGTCTCAAGAAAATAAGGTGAGGCATGATGGCCACCGATGCCCTCTGCCCTCTTAAATGGACGAGCATTCTGGTGGGCACATACATATGCACACACTACACACAGCACATGTATATACGGTGTAAATAAATAAATCCTTTAATTTGTTGGTATTAGATGTTTTCTGTAGCAAGCTTTCTTGTCAGACTTTCTTGGACTGCCAACCCCCAAATAATGACACTGAGATTTATTATTAGTTAAGAAAGCTTGGCCTTCAGCTTAGGCTTATTCCCACTAGCTCTTATGACTTAAATTAACCTGTTTCCATTAATCCACATTCTGCCACAGGACTTGGTTACCTCTCCTCTGTACATATGTCCTAGTTTCTTGGTGTCTTTCTGTCTGTCCTACTTTCTCAGGTGTCCCTCTGTCTCTTTTCTTTCCAGAGTGCTCTCTCTCCCTGGAAGTCTCTCTTGCCTAGTTATTGACTGTTCAGCTCTTTATTAAACCAATCACAGTGACACATCTTCACACAGTGTAAACAAATATTCCACTACAGTTATCTCATAGTTTATACGGCCTCTGCAGTAGTGTGAAAGGAAAGTTATTCTGGGTTAAGATGTTACAGATCACTTAAGGGGTCAACTTATTCGCAGATGAGAAATGGAGGCCTGAAAGAGTTGTTAATGACAAAACAATGCAATATAGCCCCCTACACATGCCCTACTGGCTGATTGGCTTTTACAGCACAGAAGGATAGATCAGCTGCCTGTGATTTGAAAACAGTGCCCTCAGCTTGTAGAACCTTAGTCTTGGTGACCTTCCTATTGCAGTGACAACACCATGACCAAGGCAATTTACAAAATAAAGCATTTAATTTGAGCCTGTCAGTTCCAGGGGACCATTATGGTGGAGAGCATGGCAGCAGGCAGGCAAGCATGGCACCAGAGCAGTAGCTGAGAGCTTACAGTTGATCCACAAGCACAGTGGGTAGGGGGATGCAGACTAACTGGGAATGCTGTGGGCTTTTAAAACCTCAACGCCCACCCTCAATGACACACCTCCTCCAATAGGCCACATCTCCTAATTCTTCCCAAGACAGTTCTACCAATTATGGACTAAGCATTTAAATATATAAGCCTATGGGGGCCATTCTCATTCGAACCACCACACAACACAACAGTACTGGGTGGTGGGGTATGCCCATTGACAGAGTCTTCTTTGTTCTTTCTATATCACCCCAGCTGACCTGGAGTTCACAGCCCTCCTGCCTCAGCTTCCTGAGATTATAAGATGCTTGATGCTCCAATTTGCCTTTTGTTGCTGTGGTAAACACTGACTGGAAAGGGTTTATTTCCTCTTACAGTTTACAATCCATTATGAGGGCAAGTCAGAGCAGGAACTCAAGGCAGGAACCTGAAGACAAGAACAGAACTGAGGTCATGGAGGAGTACTGCTTGCTCACCAAGACTGGCTCAGATTGCTTTCTTATACAACCCAGGACCACCTTACCAGAGGTGTCACCCACACCAATCACTAATTAATCAATGCCCCATATACATGCCCACAAGCCAATCTGATGGAGGCAACTCCCCATCAAAGAATCTGAGGTTTCTCTCCACAGGACTCTAGTTTGTATCAAGTTGACAAAAGCTAGCCACACACCTGCAGGACTAGGTTCCCAGAAAGTGAGTTTAGCCTTTTCTTGTCTTCTCTGACCTTCTGTTTCTAGTTCTCTGTGCATCTCTGTCTGTTACTGGCATGGGACTCAAGATTCACTAGACTCAGTACAGGTGAAGCGAAGTTTATTTGGGGAGAATGCTCTTACACAGGAAACAGATGACTGCCTCAGGTTCCTACTCCAAGGATGCCGACCTTGCACCCGGATGCTCTCTGCGACCTGTCCAGGAAGCAAAAGAGATCGGAAATCCCAAACCTAATCCTTATCACCAGTCATGTCCAAAAGGGCATGATGAGTGCTACAGGTGTAGAGTGGATGTCACTACAGTCTGTCTGTCTGTCTGTCTTTGTTTCCCTCACACCTTCTCTCCCTTTCTTTCAACTCTCACTACCTGGTATGAAATGATACAGCAAGAAAGTTCTCACCAGACGCTGCCCCCTTGACCTTGGACCTCTCTCAGCCTTCATGTCTGTGAGAAGTAAGTCTTGTCCTTTGGAACCTAATCCTTCTAGACTCTTCCGTTAAACAGCATAAAGCATACACAGATACATTACCACCCCCACACCACAGCTTTTGTGAAAGGGTTAATTTAATGTAGGACCTGAAACCAGATGGAAAGGGGACAGGGATATTGTGGTGACTACTATGTAGGAGCAGTGATTCAGAAGTGCCAGGAGCTTGGCTGAGGGGTGGGGGTGGCTAGTAGACTCTGATGACACCTGTTGGGAACTGTTAACACCAGAGATAGGGATGAGTTTGGAAGCTACAGTCTAGTTCCAGATTCTTCTGTCTACCTACCTCAGAACCTTTGTCCATATTGTTCCCTCTATCTGCAGTATTTCTCCTTTCTTCATCTACTTAGTACATACTGTCCTTTCTGATCTCAGGTCAGACTATCAAAGATAAATACAGACTTAGTGAGAGAGGAAATTTGGTTAGGAAGACTTTGAAATGGTGGCTACAATTAATAATATGACATTGTATACTTGCAATTTGCTAAGAGTAAATCTATACCACTAATAAAAAGGTTACTACCTGAGGTGATATATAGGTTAATTAGTTTGATTACAACAATCATTTCATACCATATTCAGGCGTCAGAATGTTACATTACATGCCTTCAACATATATAATTTTTATTTGCCAATTATAACTCAATGAAGACACAAAAGGAGAGGAGGGAGGGACAATAGGAAGGCTGCACAGACTTTAAAATGGAGAAGGGCTTTCTTTGACAGGCAACAGAAAGGTCTGCAGAAGTGAGTGGAGTCTATTCTTGGGTCACCAGACAGGCAGAGGCAAATGCCCATGGGGTCTGACAGAAGGATCTTTCCAGGGTAGCTGGTAAGGTGAAGCAGTGTTTACTCTGCTACACTTGCTCAGGCTTGGGCAAGCGAATCCAGGGCCTGCAGAGAAGACAGATGCCAGAGCCAGGTTTGCTCAAACAAAGCAAAGACTAAGAAGGGTACACTGTGCACACTGGTCAGCAGCACACACATAGAAAACCTTTCTCTGTGCAGCTCTGCTTCCATAGCCAGACTGCCTGGGATCAAATCTCAGTTCTGCCACCTCACAGCTCTGTGGCATTGTACAGGGTCTCATGGATCCAAGGTGGGCCTCAAATTTCCTATGTAGCTGAGCATGACCTTGAACTTCTGACCCTCCCTCTCCACCTCCTGAGTGCTGGGATTGCAAGTGTATGTCATCACACCCAGTGCATCTCATCACTTAGGCAGTATTGGTTAAGTGGCCAGACTGTGGAAGACTCCTAATAAGTGTTTTTGAAGTCTGAAACCACATGAACCACAAACAGCACTCTGGCCTGCCAGAGTTTGCTGAGAGCCTGTGAAAATCCTTGCCCCCACACTGAGCCATTTGGCCATGACATAAACAAGTACTAATGTTATCAGGCTTCAAATATTGTGCTAAATAAAGATGGTGAGGGCTGGATATGTGGCTCAATTTGTAAAATGCTTTCCTAGCATGTATAAAACCTAGGTTTGATATCCAGCATTGCATAAAATGGTGTTGTGGTCCATATCTGCAGTTGCCACCCTCAGGAAATAGAGGCAGGAGGACTAGAAGTTCAAGGTCATCTTGAGCTACACAGCAAGCTTACTGTCAGTTCAGGCTACATGAGACCCTGTCTCAAAAAAAAGAAAAAAAAAGACAGTTATGAAAGAGTATAGACATGATATATGATCGTGTTTGTGTGAAATGCCTAAAATTGGCAAACCTCTAGAGACAGGAAATAGATGGGTGGCTGCCTCAGGCTGTCACTCACTCTCTCTGAGGTGGGAGAGGAGATGCTCTAAAATTAGATGGTGGAGGCAGCTGCTCAGCTCTGGCTGTAATAACAGCATTTACTTGTACATTTAAGCGGGTGCGTTTTTTGACATAGATGCTATGTGTCAATAGAGCTGCCTGGGAAGAAGGGTGTTCATAGTCGCAGCGGTGCTACACACAAAATCCCAAAGTGGACACAGCACAATGTCTGTTGGCAGATGACAGAGGAAACAAAACACCCTGTGCACATACAGCAGATCATACTCATGCAGTAAGTACTTCATGATAGGAGTCATTCTAGAAAAGAACACCTCCATTAGACAATCTCATCACTTACAGAAAGCTGATGCACCAGGTATGTGAGGCCAACACCCCTTCTGTATGGAAGTAGGTATGCCCCAAACCATGGTACAAAACATGGTACAGAAGTCACAGAGAGCATTACGCTCCTTTGCCATCATTATCCCATGCCATACACTATACTTTTGTGACCATGGCATGGAGGTTTACTCACACCAGCAGCACCACAGGCCTTGTGCTTCTATGTGACGCATGTTACAGCATCACTGGGTGGCAGGAACTTCATTATAATCCTCTGGGATGACCACTGTTCCATCCTTCTTTGTGCAGCATGGGGCTGTATTAGCTATCTGTTTACAGAAGAAAACACATGGTTGAGACTTGGAAACATTCTAAGTGGAAGAAACTAGACACAAAGGGACAGATTGCATTTGCCTCCACTTACGTGAGAGGGGTTGGGTTTTCAGAAGCTGGCACCAGAGCAGCGGTAACTAAGGCATTGGGAGGAAGGAATGGTGACCTATTGTTTGATGGGTACAGAGTTTCTATGTGGGATGACGAAACACGGTTAAAATTGTTCATTTTTATTGGGCATATTTTACAATAATAAAATAACTCATATGCCAAAAAGTGGGGAGGGGCTAGGAATATGGCTCAGTTGGTAGAGTGCTTCCCTGGCATGCCCAAAGCCCTGGGTTCTACCCGAAACATCACATAACAAAACTGGGTGTGTGGTGCACACCTGTGATACCAGCTTTAGGAAGGCAGAGGCAGGAGGATTGGAAGCCATCATCCAATGCCTATTGAGTTTGAGGTCAGTCTAGGGCTGGAGAAATTGCTTAGCTCTTGCAGACGACCCAGGTTCAGTACCCAACACCCACATGGCAGCCCACAGCTGCCTGTAACTCCAG